CCTGAAAAGTGATGCTGATACAGCAGAGTTTTTGTTGAACAGGTAATATTTCGTTTTTATTGTGGATGTTGTGACATAGATAACTGTATGCCAATTCTGGTTTATGACTGTGAAAGCTGCCGTTAGTTTCTTGTGTGGTTAGACGGCGTCAAAACATTTTTTGTCTGCAATATTGTCAACACTTGTTTACTTGTTCGACGGAGACGTTAGCCTAATTTTTAGCATTGTAAGCTAAAACTGCTATCATGTTTACACATTGTCACATCAGCGTGTTTCCTTAGGAGGCTCCGAGGGAAGGGGGACATGAGGCTCGGAGGGGAGGGATCGTGGAGCACAGAGGGAGGGGTGTGTGTGGGGGGGAATGCTTTTTTCAAATCTTTCTCATCGTCTTTCTAAATGTAATCTATAGCTTTAATATAAAGGCTTTAAAGGAGCCGGCAGGTCGTCTGACAAGAACACAAACAAAGAGTTTGTTTGATTGACCTTTAAATAGTCTCAGTATTGTGCTGGAGCAGAGAAAAACTGGGGTATCACCTGTGGTCCAAGAAAGTTTGTACTCAGTCGCTCCAACAATGGGACTCCACTCCACATCTATGGACATACTGGTGTAGGACGACACCTTGAAGTTGGACACATATCCCAACGGAGCTGAAACAGAGTAGCAAGTATTAAACTTAGTTATTAGTTTTTGTGAATACACTGTTAATGACATGATGTCCTTGATAATATGAACCAGAAAGACCCATGACAAATGTCAATGATTGATTTCTTTCCAAACTTTCTTACACCGAATTCCTGTCATTTAGCAGTGTTTTGCTTTACACTCACACACTGGCCTGAGAGGTGCTTGACAGAATCAGCCACTAGCATTCACAATAGTTTCTTCTGTGGCGGTGTCTTTGTTGGTCTTGAATATATTTTTTAAGTCATTTTGACTGGGCTTCTTTAACAGGAACTTAAAAGCAGCTTAAAATCTTGTATTTGCTAACCTTCTATAATTCAAGTTCTCAATATGCTGCATTGACGTAGTAGTGTACTTCAGGGTGTGTTTACACATGGTGACATCACAGCTGAGGGGTTTTAGGTACAACTTCTGGCCCCATACAATGCAGCCTGGGGTTACGTTATTCTGTGATCTCCAGGTACTTTCAACACATAGATTCCAATTTAGGCCTTGTCCACATATAGTAGGGAATATTTGAAACCCAAATTTTTCAACGCGATTCAGCCTTTCATCCATATACAAACTGTTTTAGGTCAATGGAAATGGACCATTTGTAAAACTCTGTCCAGTGTTAAGATTTTTAGAATTAAGTTTTTCACTGTTAACGCATAGACAGGGAAAACAGGGAGATTTTGGCTTGCAATGTGAAGAGTGTGCATCCTTTGTGAGGTGTCAGGAATTCATGCAATGGCACACGTGGCCAAAATAGTGCTGGCTCTAACCTGCTAACAGGACTCATTACATGTTTACTCATAACTGTACAGTTACTTTTCCATTTTATTGAGGAACACAGGCATTCAGGTTTCTGATTGGCCAACATATTCTTGTTTTTCTTCTTCGTCTGGCTTTAGGGTTACGGTTCTATCGCCGCCTGTTGGCCTACCATCTTACTGTTCCTCATTTTAAATGTGGTTCTTTCTCTGCCGTATTTCTTTCTTGCTGCAGTCGTGCGTGCCCTCAACCTCCCCATTCCACCTAGTCTTCACGGATTCATCAGCCACATCAGCTTCAGCAGTCAGCACCCTCAGAGTCATCAGCCACCACCACCTCCCCCACCAGTGTCTGGACTCCATGGGGCAATTTATCTTGCTGCTGCTCAGATGTCCCTTGATCACAAAATATCTCCCTCTAATGTCCAAGCGGCAAAGACTTCTGTTAAATCTTAATCAACACAAATCACCTGTTAATCTGTACACTTATATTATATATTAAATATTATCTTAAATCATTCTTCTGTCTCCCCTGATTGAAATACCTGTGCATGTGTGAGATGGAGAGGTCTCTGCACTACTTGGGTTCTGGGGCACAGAGGTGAAGGAAACATGGCAAAATAAAAAAGTAAAAATAAAATCCCTTTGGACTTTCACACACACTGCAAGTGACAGGGATTGTGTTTATAAAGGACATATGACTTGTCAATCAAACACCACAAAGGTGTCAAACACTACTACTTCGCCTGTGTATCATATTTTGCCTTGGTATGATACTTTCTGGATGAATGACACAACTCTAAACACAAAGAAAAATACAGCATAAAAATCCTACACCTTAGTGGTACTTCAGTTGGGTTGGGAACATATTTAGTAGTGGTACTCACAAGTTCTGAAGGTAGCACTGATACCAGGCCCCACCACAGATCCAAACAGCACATAGAGAGACAGGACATACTCAGTATCGTGGGCTGCATTCTTCAGTTGGTACTCTGTGGTGCTGCTGTTCAGAGCCAACTGCCTGGGACGGTCCCGACCAACAAACTCTGAAAACAATGACATTTAAAGTTCAGTTGCATCAATCTTTCTTGCATTTGGTTATTTCTCACTGTCCTGGCATTCATCTCAACTCTGGCTTAGCTTCAGAGCTTCTCTGGAAACAACATCCTCCTCCTTTTCTCCCCAACATTTGTATTTCATCAAAGCGAGTCACCATGCCACCTGTCACCTCCCAGTGACTGACTGACTGACTGACTGACTGACTGACTGACAGGGTGGATGTGTCCAGTGTAAAAAAGGCAGCATTTCAAAAGCTCTTGTCATAGTGAGTCTGTCACTGGGAGAAAAGGAGCAAGCTTGCATCAGAATCAAAGTTCAACACACATGCATAAATGTAATCAAACACAAATACCCTCTACCCAAAACTTAAAGTAGAATGACGTCATTTATATATACAAGAAGGTTCAAGAGTCATGAGATGTATCATAAGAAGAACCAGAGATGGAATGTAACCAAGCACAGAATGTA